AGCATCGTGTCATTCGTTTACCGACTTGCTAGGGATATAGTCTTACCATATTCAACCCATAAATTGATGTAAATCTGGTGCAGGACGTTGCGCATGCTCAGCGTCGCCGTGTCGGTGAGCATGACGAAGCGCAGGTTGGAGGGCGTCTCGTAGTAGTGCAGCTTGTAGCCAGAGGTGCGGTAGCTGATGAAGGCGTCGTCGTCACCGCCGAGCTTGCGGACCATGTTGCGCAGCGAGAAGACGGTGCCGAAGATGAGTTTCGCGTCGTCCTTGGCGGAGTTTGTGTGGGAGCGGCGGAGCTGCTGCGAGGGGGCGGCAGCTGCGGCGCCAGGGCCGGCGGAGCTCGCGGGCGGTGGTAGTGAAGCCGGGCGCTCGGCGGGGAGCCATGTCTTGCTGTAGATGCATTCTGTGTGCCGGTCGAAGATGTAGAAGGAGTAGACGACCATGATGGGCGATTTGACGCGGAGCGTGGTGGTGGTGGTGGTGGTGTCGTCGGTGAGGCGCGGCGTGCGGGATCAAGGTCCCATTCCGTTTGGGGAGGTCGCGCGACGCAAGTTGAAGCTTCGTGGTCTGGAATTGGGCTGAATGATTGTTGCTTCGATGTCGCTGGCGAGCTGTGGGAGCTCTTGTCGTGTGCGCGCAGGGTATCGCAGGCCCGAGATGATGTCGCTGGGAAACGGTCGTCGGGAGCCGGACGAATGAGCAAACGCTCAGTGGCACCCCCTACCTGTAGGCTAAGATACGTCTCTGGCCGAGCCTCGGTGGCCTAGGAATGCGCAATGAGACCCTGGAGCCTGTCCGATTAGGTGCGTGCAGGGGCAGCCCGTGGCGGGGCACTCTCAGTGGGGTTGAAATGCTCTCTTCCTCCCCGCCCCGGACGAGGTCCAATGTCTTCTGACGGCGCCTCTTTTGTGGTTTCTGCTTGCTGCAAAAAGGAGGGGTTTGCAGACTTGCGCTGGCCCTACGAGGAGGCCACTAAGCCTGGGCAAGCCCACCTCTTTGGGGGCTGTTGTAACGCGCCCAATGGCATCAGGCTCTGGGTCTGGAGATGCTCGAAAGCCTTACGCGGTCCATGGGATCGCCGATGGATAAACGGCAGCGAAATGGATGCTCGAAGCCTTGGGAACCGGGGATTTGGACCGGGCCTGACGAGGGGGCTGGACCGACACAGCTGAACATGACGCTGGGCTGGGAAGTGTTTTTCTCCCCCCCCCCCCCCCCCCCCCCCCCCTTTTNGGGGGGGGGAGTGTTTTTTTCCCCCCCCCCCCCCCTCTAAGCGTCGTTTTCCACCTGCGGTGTTCCTCTTTTTTTTTTTTTAAGCTTGAGTCGTCGCTCTCGCAAAACTCCAGCCCTTGTTTCTGCTGGTTTATCTTCGTCGCTTTCGGTTTTCCCACCCACCTTGGTCTGCGTCGGGTCAGGTTCGGTCGCAACAAGGCTTGAGCACACACATTAGGTAGCCGGCATAGCTCAGCTGAGCTCTCTCTCCCCCACCTGGTGCTCTCCAACTCGAATTCCGTCATTCCCCCAAAAACGTCAGCTCGCCTTTTTCTCTTTTTCATCGTTCCAGCTTTGCACGACACACACAGCCTGGCGCTGGAGGCGACAATGTCTGAACCCGGCGAACTCCAGAGCCCGCCAACAACGGCCATGGCCTCCGCAACTCTCGCGACCACCGGCGGCATCACCTCGCCCACCATCACCGTAGAAGAGGGCGGCGCGGAAGCTCGTCCGCCGTTCGCTAACCACATGTGCGTCTGCGCCGGTCCTTGTTGAGCCTCTCCCTCTGCCCTTCCCTCTCTCGCTGCGTTGCGCGCGCTGCAACTTGCACTGCCTCCCCCGCGCTCCACAAGCACGCAGCTCTAACCTCGTCCCGTGTTGCCGAGCAGATCCGATTCGGCCGCCCAGCCAACAAAGTTCCAGAGTCCCTTGCGACATCACCGCCGAACGCCGTCGGCTCATCGCGAAGTCAAGGTGCGTCAGCTCAGCGTTGTTGAGCTTTGGCCCCGCCGCGCTCCCAAGTTAGTGGGGGCGGGGNGCGTCAGCTCAGCGTTGTTGAGCTTTGGCCCCGCCGCGCTCCCAAGTTAGTGGGGGCGGGGTAGCTGCCCTGTCTGTCATCAGCGACCAGGGACTCACAAGCAGCAGGAAACCCTCAATGCTGTGACTGAATATAGCAGCGAGGGCCAGGACGGACGGAGCAACCACCGTATTAACCAGTACATAATCAAAGAGGAGATTGGTCGAGGTTCGTACGGAGCAGTGCACCTCGCGACAGACCAGTTTGGGACCGAATATGTAAGATGGGCTCGCTCCGTCATCTGCCCAGAGCCAAGCTCACAACTCGTAGGCCGTCAAAGAGTTCTCCAAGGTCCGTCTGCGCAAACGAGCCCAGTCCAGCATTCTCCGCCAAGGAGCTCGTCGACCCCAGCGATTCGCCCACCGTGTAAGTCTCAATGCGCCGCTGTCGCCACACTTCGGCGACTTTGGCGGAGACAACCCAAGCCCCAGTGCCAGCGATGCCTTGTTCTTCATCAGGCAAGAGATTGCCATCATGAAGAAGCTCAACCATCCGAACTTGGTCCAACTCATAGAAGTGTTGGACGACCCAGAGGAGGATTCGCTGTACATGGTCCTCGAGATGTGCAAGAAGGGCGTCGTCATGAAGGTCGGACTCGGCGAGACGGCCACACCGTACCCCAAAAATTCGTGCCGTTACTGGTTCAGAGACTTGATATTAGGCATCGAGTATTGTAAGTGACCTAGTGTTTGCACCGCCAGCAGGGCTGATGCGCAGCAGTGCACGAACAAGGCGTCATTCATCGCGACATCAAGCCTGACAACCTCCTGCTGACTGAGGATGACGTCCTCAAGATTGTCGATTTCGGCGTCTCAGAGATGTTCGAGAAGCCTGGCGACGGCATGATGACTGCCAAGTCCGCGGGCTCCCCGGCCTTCTTGGCTCCTGAGCTTTGCGTAGTCAGGCACGGCGATGTGGACGGCAAAGCTGCTGATATCTGGTCCATGGGCGTTTCACTGTACTGCCTGCGATACGGCAAGATCCCCTTCGAGCACGATGGGGTGCTGGAAATGTACGAAGCCATCAAGACGGAGTCTCCTCGTCTGCCCGAAGATGAGGATGCCGACTTTGTGGATCTCATGACCAGAATTTTGGAAAAGGACCCGAAGAAGCGCATCCCGATGGCGAAGTTGAGAGTGCGTGCCGTCCGTGTACTAAGTTTGCCGCCACCAAGATTGCTGACAAGATTCAGGAGCATGCCTGGGTCACAAAGGGAGGGACAGATTTGTTGCTTTCCAAAGAAGACAATTGTGCGGCCCTCATTGAGCTCCCAAACGAGCTCGAGTTGAACCGTGCTTTTACGCGGAAGATGAACCATCTTCTCTGCGTGGTGAGTAGTAATTGGCATTGTCTCAGAACGTTCCTAACCTTGGTGTAGATGAAAGCGATCCACAAGTTCAAGGCCATCCTCATGAGGCGCAGGCAGAGTCGCAACTCTACCCTCTCGCCACGCGGTGATGGCGGTAATGAGTTGATCGACCAGGACAGGGACAGGGCTCGTGCAGAAGAGATTGAGGCTCTCATCGCGAAGCGCCTTGAGTTCATGAAGAAGCAGGGAGGGAGCAGCGGTGCGACGGACAAGAGCGATGCGACCGAAAAGGCGGAGAACGAGCCGCTGATCCTTGGTATCGGGATCGGTGCTCGAGACGAGTTCGATAAGAACGAGCCGTCGGCGGGTGCTGTGGCTGAATCTCCGACCAACGTCGACTTCAATATCTATGACAAGGCATACGAGGCCGAGGTGGAGCGCATCATGTCCAAGCCCAAGAGGCAAACGACAATGTACCTGACGCGGTTCGTCAAGGACCGCGAGCAGTTCAAGGAGGTCGCCAACGTGATCGAAGGGACGTCCGCGGCCGTTACACCAGCAGGAACGCCGAGATTTGATACCCACCAGGCGGCAGCGAAGGGCCGGTTCGCGGACTTGGTGTCCAGTATGACGGGCAAGGGCAAAGATGCAGAGGGCGTAGAACAATGAGAAAGGGCGATCGCATCTGTGAGTCCGCAAAGGCCATGGCTTGGCGTTGGGGTATTTTCTTTTCTTGTTTTGCCGTGGTTGTTGGGACGGTTTACCTGAGCACTTCTCTTCCAAAATATGATACCTGTTCGTGGCAATGAATGGAACGGGACATTGCTTGCTGATGAAAGTTTGGCGGCGGCAGAGCACAGGAAAACATGATTGCGGTTCACCGTGGTTGACAATTTCGTGTGAAATTGGGATTCGTCTTGCATGGGTGTTCCACTTTTGGCCAAGGGGATGGAAGGTCCAGTGTCATTCTGGAAGCTGTGGAACGCCCTGTTAAACTGGGGAAACAGTCGTGGCAGCCATGCTCGGCCGAAGACATCATCACTTGTTCCGTCCTTCATCTCTCTTGCCGAAAGTGGTTTCCACGCTAGTCGTCCATCCCCGGTGGAGATAGCCAATCGCGTGGGAATGAGGCACAGCCAGAAATCCCATCCGAGGCAAGGGGGCCAAACCACCTCCAGTCTCCAGTCAGCATTCCTTCCTTTTTCCATCGTTCTGGCCCCCAATTTACCAATGCACTTTACGGAACGGCGACGCCGGCTTCAACTTCCCCAGTCCCAGTCGATAGGCTATACCGAGAGTTAATAACGTCGTCGATGGAAGCCACAATATCCTTCAAGCGACGACTGTTCTCTAACAGGAAAGATACGCATTTCGACAGGAGAACACGAGATCAAGACTTATTCGCCATGGCCCCCGACGGCGACAGCTTCCCGATGGGCAACCAACCGACGGGGTTTTCGGTAAGCCCATGAAACAAACGGACAAGCTCCATCATTCACGACGACAACCTTACTGAACACTCGGCCTTGCCAGCTCCTGAGGCGATCGTTCGTTCCGTCGTTCTCCCTATCAAGCAAACGCTTGAGCACGCCAGCACCCTCCTCTGTCAGCAACACCATGCCTAGTCGATGCCAGGCATGCCGCAACCTAGACATTTGGCGAGCTACGGAACGCCTTCCGGGGCACACTCTGTCCGCCCTTGTAGATGGTGTTGTTCTTGCCAGACTCAAGACTTTCGAGGACCCTCGCGATTGCGATCTATGCCAGCTCTTCTCTCGCCTGTACGTTGAAATCGACCCGGCAGCCTCCGGCTCCGTCCACACAGCAGAACTCCGAGCCTTCCCTCTTGTGCCGCACATTGCTCTACGGTCGCTCAGGCAAGGCTTCTGGAAAGGCGACACGGGGTACTTATTTGAGGCGGAGGACTTGACCGACTTCTTCCTTGCTGTCGTGCCGTCTGACTTCACTCACACAGGCGGAAGGGACAACTCGCGGTTAGAGAAGCTCATCTCCAAGCAGGGACTCGTTATGTGGCATCGGGAGATACAGAAGAACACAAGGTTGTTCTCTCCACGCATTGTCACGCCCCAATTCAACGCTCGGGTTGTTATGGAGTGGCTGGACTGCTGCAAAAAGTACCACTCGGCTTGCCATCGCGGTCAGGGCGCTCTGCCCAACATGCGACTTATCGACTGCGAGACCAGAAGCGTCATCACTGTCGAGTCGCTCCCTACCGAGGGTCATCCGGAATATGTGGCGCTGAGCTACGTATGGGGAAAGAGTACGAGTAGCCTCTTGGACTTTACGGACACGGGCACGTCATTACCCAAGAATCCGCCCCAGGTCATCGAGGATGCGATGAAGGTTACCGCTGCACTCGGCTACCGCTTCCTCTGGGTCGACAAGTACTGTATTGACCAGCACGACAGCGGTAAGAAGCATGAGCAGATTATGCACATGGATTTTGTGTATCAGAATGCGGCTCTCACAATCGTCGCCGCTGCTGGAGACGACGAGACTTGTGGTTTACCTGGCGTGTCCACCGAGCGGCCATCACAACAAAGCTTCTTCCCTCACGAGCGGTTCAACTTGCGCTCGGCCCTTCCGTCCCCTAAGCAGAGCATTCTGGACTCTCGGTGGGCTACAAGAGGGTGGACGTATCAGGAGGCTGTCCTATCGAGCCGACGCCTCATCTTCACGCGAGACCAACTTTACTTCGAATGCGGTTCGATGAACTGCCATGAAAGTTTGCGAGTCTCATTCGACACCTTGTATCGACAAAGAAGGTCACACCTTGACGACTACATTGGCCGTTCGCTCTTCGGATCTGAGCATTTGATACCCCAGACCGCAAAATACGACGAGACATCCAGGCTGAACAAATTTCTTGCTTACACACAATGCGCCGAGCAGTACTCTAGACGAATACTAAGCTTCGACGAAGACGGTATGAATGCATTCGGGGGCATCATAAAGAGGCTAGAGTCGACGACAGACTTTCCCGTTCGGCAGATATGGGGTATACCATTCTTCCATCCAAAGGACGACATACTTGCGTCTGTAGGGAGTGTGGACTACTCGGGTTACCTTTTGACCGCGCTGGCCTGGAGGCATGAGCTATACAAGCCCACAAGGCGGCGCAAGCAGTTTCCTTCTTGGTCCTGGACGGGATGGGAAGGATCGGTCACTTGGCCAAACCCGGTGGATTCAAACAACATCCATAGTCCAGCGGGTGTCGACATGGCCAGCATCCAGCTGTACCTGGAGGACGGCACCACATTACCATTATCTGAACTTGATCCGCGGAGTCCGGACCAGAACTTTTCGCAACCAAGAGCTCTACTAATTCACACTTCCGCCGTTCCAAGGACGGCGTTCATTTCCGACGGTTCCAACCATAGCATGCGACTTGCGAACGGCGGAGAAGTTCGGCTGTATCCCAGTAAGGAGGATTTGGATGCACCAAAAGTATTCAAACGGATACAGACTGGACGGTACGAGGCCATCAGGCTCGGCACCATCAATGACGACGCATACATGATGCTGATCAAATGGTACCGAAACTCGGCGTATCGGATTGGCACACTCGTTGTTAATAAGTACTATCTAACATACTCTACGCCTGTGGCGAGAACGTTCAAAATCAAATAGCCCTAATTTAATCACACCCTGCTCGATACGGCAGGTTTCAGATGCCTTCAACGCCCTCAGACTCATACCAACAAAAGCTTCAGGGGCCACCGTCTTGAAATCCTCAAGCGCTGCTCCTATTGGCTGCCCGTGAACATCGTCTTCGGCAACCAACAAATGAAATGGAGGCTGCGCCCGTCGTTTGTGTTGGCGCTAAGGCGCAGCGGCAGGCTGCGGCCTCACCTTCGCTCCAACAAACGTGATGAGATTCCTCTCTGCAACAACACATCAGCTCCATCTCTTCCAGCAACTATGCCTGACTTATTGTAAACGTTCTTCGCGATGTCTGATTCATTGTCAGTTGCCGGAAGTGTTGTGGGAATCGTCTCGCTTGGTATGCAAGTGACACAGGCGCTTTACATTACTACAATGCTTTTGCAAACGCGGAGTCGGACGTCGCACAGATTCTCACAAAGTTGGAAAGCCTTCAAAAGCTACTTGATAGCTTATATCGCCAGCTTAAGGACCGCAAATTCTGCTTGAACGACCGTTATGTCTTGGTATTGGTTGAAAAGCACGTCTAGGAATGCGAGGACTGCATTGAAGATCTCTGTGATTATATAGAAAAGTTTGGGGATATATAGCCAAAAGACACTCTGGCTATTGCAAAAGCCCTCGGTCGACGGCTTGCTTACCCATTCCGAGAGAAGACATTGAGAAGGCGTGAAGAGGATATCGCTGAGGTCTTCAGTCGCATGTCTTCTGCATTATAATAGCTGCAGCTGAACGACACCGGTAACATTCGGAACGAAGTGGAGGAAACCAAGACTTTGATGGACCTAGTGAGAGCTAGCTAGGTTAACAAGAAAGTCTTTGAATGGTTGAAAGCCCCTGACGCTACGATCGACTTTAATGAAGCCTGTAAGAAAAAGCACCCCGGAACAGGCCTGTGGTTTGTCCAGGGCCCCGCGTACAAGTCATGGCCCGAAATACTGGGCTCTTTCTCTGGCTGAGCGGCTTTGCTGGCTGCGGCAAATCTGTCCTCTGCTCCACGGCTATCCAGTACGCCTTTCGACATCGGAGGTCCAGCCCACGAGTCGCCATCGCGTTCTTTTCTTTTCTTTCACCGATGTCAGCAAGCAGAATGTGTCGTCCATGCTGCGCTCCTTGGTGCTACAGCTGTTTGGCTAACTCAATGGCGGCTGCAACTATGTACTGCGATTACGAGACACCTACCGCAATTCTACGCCACCAGACCAAGTCTTAATTGATTGTCTCCTCGAGCTTTTCAGATCGTTCAAGGACACCTACATCATGATTGATGCTACTGACGAAAGTCCGCGCGACGAACACCTCGAGGCTGTTCTCGAAACGCTGCTTCTCCTACGCCACAAGCCAGGGCTACACCTCCTCGTGACAAGTCGAGATGAGACCGATATTCGAGAAACGCTAAACCCTTCCTTGAAACAACATGTCACGATGAAAAACCTTTCGGTGGACGAGGATATCGCTTGTTATGTATCAGAACATCTTCGCAAGACTGCCCGCTCGTTGAAGTGGTCCACGAAATTTGCCCGTATCGAGACCGCACTGACGAAGCGCGCAAAGGGGGTGTTGGTCACCTCTCACCATCACCGGCAGACAGTACAGCTAACTCTGTTACAGATTCAGATGGGTTGAGTGCCAGTTCAAAGCACTTGCCAGTTGTTCCGTGAGCCCTCACAACTTGAGCAAACTGCTCGAGTCTCTGCCCAAGACATTGGACGAAACATACGAGCGAATGCTCCTTGGCATCCCGGAGCATGCTCAAGAGTGCTCTCAGCGGATATTGACGGCTCTCTGCTGTGCCAAACGGTCCTCAACAGTGCCCGAAGTCATCGAGTGCGCGGCGGTTGAACTGGAGCCTGAGCCGGCGTTGAATCCAGACCGTCGGCTTGAAAAGGCAAAAGCCATCGAGGAAGCCTGCCCTGGTTTGGTGGAGATCTACACGGCACCGTTCAAGATGTTGGATTCGCGAACCTATGTGAGCATCGCTCATTTTTCTGTTTAGGAGTATCTCGAGTCCGAACGGATATTGCACCAGAAGCCCGTGTCGCAATTTCACACCGGAGGCCACGGCGGCCAAGTCGAGATGCTGAACATCTGCCTGGCCGTTTTGAATGCTGAGTATAAAAGGCTCTTGGATTTTACTAGCCTCTTACATGACGCCGATGGACCGCTGGTTGAATACGCACAGTCACACTGGTACCTGCACTTTACAGAAGGCAAAGAAACGCCGGCGTTGATAGATCGAGTACTACGACTTTGCCAAGACTCGTCGTCTCTTCGCGTCTTGACATTCGAATGCCTTCGCTTCGATCGCGGTTTCAATCAATGTTATTTGGAAGAAGACAATCTTGAAGCACTAGAGTTTGATATGGATAACTTCGGACGCCTGGAGCTTGCAGGAGGCACCCTAATCGAGGACAAGACCTGTGTCTACTTAATGACTATGCTTGGGTTTCACTCAGTGCTTGTTCGGTTGCTTGCTAACGACAAAACCGTCGTGGACAGACTGTTTCAGGCATGACCCCATTGCAGCAGGCATCCTCAGATGGGCATGAGGAAATAGTACGACTTCTGCTGGAAGATGGCGCTGGGATCAACTTATCTGGGAAGCACGGCAACGCGTTATCAGCAGCGGCCAAGAATCGTCATATGGGCACCGTCCAGCTCCTTGTGGACCACAACGCCGATGTCAATGCAGGAGGAGAGAGATTTGCCTCGGCTCTGTCTGCGGCGGCCTGGGGTGGGAATATGGACATAGTCCAGCATCTCCTCGATCATGATGCTGATGTTAACGCCACTGGTAAAAGCCTGGCTTCACCACTAGTCAGTGCAGTGACAAAGGGTCACGCGGAGGTCGTTCAACTTTTGCTAGACTCCGGCGCTGATGTGACGGCACTGAACTCGGCTGGCTGTGCACTAATGGCGGCTGCGCAGCATAGTCGCATATTGATTGCACAGCTTCTCCTCGAACAAGGAGCCAACGTGCAGTGTCGACATCGCGGTCTGGAGGACACATTTCATCTGATCCCATTGGTCATTGCGAGTGGCAAAGGAGATTTGGAGGCCATGAAGCTTTTGCTCGAACACGGTGCTGACCTCAATGCCATAAGGTATCACCAACATTCAACCCGTCAATCCATATTCATAAGCACTCCACTATTATCTGCACTCGAACGCGGAAATGTAGAAGCTGCGCGACTTCTCCTCGAGCACGCCAACCTAAAAGCGCAAGGTCGTCCCTGGACGAGGACTGATTCTCGGCCTCTCCTGCACCTAGGCGATCAGATGCAAACACAACGATACCGAAATGGTAGAGCTTCTCCTAGACTACGGCGCGAATCCGTACGATAACGGCAGTCGCGGAAAGGATGCGGCGCAGCGTCTGGCTCGTTACCTCCGCAAGACGAAACTAGCCCATTGATTCAAGAACATATGACGAAGTTTTCGGAGGAAGGGTGCTTAGCAAAGTCTGCCAAGAAGAACAGTAGCAAGGAAGGGAGCATTGATAAGACCTGCGAGTAGGACAATCACAAGGGCAACAACAAGATAGTCCTGGGGCTACCAATAAACCAAGACGTGTTACCGTTACATGCCGCAGCAGGCAAAAAGACGTCCAGAGCCCAGAATTCAGCCAATCGTTCCCAAGCAGAGATTTTCCCCAGGAGTGATGATGAACTTGAGTTCCCCCCCGGAGCTCTTCCATGAAAAGGAGTCTCTGATGTCTCAAGGCCTTCTTTCCCTGCAATAGTCCCAAGGCTCCTCGGCGGCCACCGTGGTCCGTCTCATAGCCTCCTCTCATGACGAGAGAGGCTGCCTCACAGCAGCCACATACTACCCAACGAGTCAGCCACCCGGTCTCCCGCCGAATCACAGGCGAAACTCACAGGAATAATCTGCACCCTCTCAAGATCCCAGACCCCGCTCGTAGCATAAACATCGTTCTCGATGATAACCTTTACATCTTCTGGGCTCTCCCCGGTATACACAACCACGCTGCCCCGGAAACAGGCCTCCGTGGCGTCTTCGTTCGGGTGTTTCTCAAACAATGCCCCAAGAGCCCGTAAGCCCAACTCTCGATTCACGTTGACCCTTTGCCCGAGGGAGTTGGGAAGCAACACATTACCTCCGGCAACTAGCCTTCCAGACTCGATGAGGGGCTTGATTCCTTCGTAATGCTGGCTTTCCGGGCGTCAGCAGCGCCAGGAGGTGGCCAGGCAGACGACATATATTACCCCTTGACCTGCTTGCGGACTTGCAGCACGTTGGGCTTATCTGGCATTATGCAAAGAAACTCCTTTGGGGCCCGTGTAGCCATCGTTCTGGCACCGGCACCAAGCGACATTCTGGCAGTGCGCTGGGCAAAGTTCAATGTCCTCGAATACATGATGAAAGGCGAACGGCTGGGCAGTTGGATAATTGTAGAGACCTAGCCAACGACACGACGCTCGCTTGGCTCGTTCATTTAAGGACACTTCGTAGTGTATGGCATCATTCTGTAATTGACTCCTTGTTAGTCGGGATGACAGACCCGACACTCGGAGGACCGGTCCCGGGCGTTGGTGGGACCCTGGTGGCCATACACATCCGAATCGGGCAGGCACGCTTACACCGTTTGCAACGGCACAGAGGGGGACGGCTGATCGCATAGTCTAAGCCACTGACACTCACTCAAGCACTGATTGCGACACAAACCACGATGAACACACGATTAAGGGGTATATTGACCGCTCAAACGGAAGCACATGAACGATATATATAAGCTACCAACTCGCAATTGCAGCGCACCAGCCGTGCACTCAAACACCCGACCGCCAGAGGAATATCCACCCCGCAAGAAAGCCCAAAGCTACACAAACCTAAGAAACTGAACCGCAAAACTTTTTCCATGCACCAAGCTATTCGTCGTCATCAACGTCCATCGATTCTTGAGCGGGCCTTCCCCGTGTGCTGCGCGCCGATATTCTGGTTGCCGTTTTGGGAGCGGCCTTCTCCTTTGGTGCGGGACGGGCCGGCAGCTTCGTCTTTGCGGCTGCCTTGGAAGCTGCCGCTGATCGGCCCTTGCGTCCGTTGGACTTGGGCGGAGGTGAGGCCTTCTCTTCTTCCTCGTCGTCGGCCTCTTCCTCTTCCTCTTTGTCTGACTTTGCAGCAGCTTCGTCAAGGTCTGATAACGGGGAATCTTCCCTATCTTCCTCCGCCTTGCCACTCGTCTCCTTGACCGGCTCGTCCTCCTCTTCGTCGTCGCCCTTCGGAACGTCTGAGAGGGCAGATGAGTCACCGTCCTTATCCGAGTCCTCGGACTCCGATGCGGAACCCTCCGCCTCTGGCGTTGGTGCGCCCTCAATGTACTCCCACGACTGTACGCCATCCCACATCTCCTTGTCATCATCAGACGAGTCGCGCTCGGCATACTGGGAAGTCTTTGTGGCTCTTCCACTACGCCTCCGGTTCTCCTCGGGTATGTCAGAACCTGGGCGCTTCTTGATCTTCGCGGGCTTCTTGGGAGCGGCCTGTTTCTTGACCTTGGGAGGCTTTGGCTGCTTGGGTGGCCTGGGCTCCTTGACCTTAGCAATCTGCCTAGACTTCTTCGCCGCCGGTTGACGATCTCCCCTCTCGTCCATGGACTTGCGCTTCTGCATGGCTGTCAGCATGATACTGGAAAGTCAAAGTGATTTCATACCTTCTTCCTATCGATGGACTTGAAGAGATCGTCAAGTTTCTCGTCAATTTCCACAGGGAGGAACTGCTTCTCGGCAATCTCTTGGGCGACCTGGTGCGAGGGCAGAGCGGTGTAAAGACCGACAGGGAGACCGACCTTGGTCGGGAACGCCTGGAAACTCCAGTTCTTCCTCTCTTGCCATTTTCTGATGACGGCCTGAGCCAGGTCGCTGATGATTTGCAGGTTCTCGCTCTCATCGGGATGGATGGCGTCACGAGTTTGCTTCACTCTTTCAGCATACTTGAAGATCAGACCCAGGTTACCCTCGGTCGCCACGTTCGAAACGTAGTATAGGATGTAGCGGCCGTGGTCAGCCAGATCGCTGGCATAAGATGCTCGGTCCTCCTCGCTGGCCTCTGCAAGGTTAGGTAGTCTGTTGAAGTCGGGGTGATGTGCCAGCAAAGAAATAAGTCTGGCCATGATGGCCTCCATGGGACGCTGCTCAGACGTCTCCAACGCGCGCACACGGGAGCGAATCCAGGTCTCGATACGCTGCTTCAAGTCGGAGTTGGGCTCGAACGCTGTGAGGAAAATGATCGTATAGAATCGCACGCGAAGTTTGCCTCGGGCCAAGTACTTTTGGAGCTTCTCGATGAAGCCCTTCCGAACCTGGAGCTCAGGATCTTGGGCGGTGAAGGCCAAATGATCGAAGTCGGCGCATGTCAACAGGTCATCGAAGTGCTTGATGGTGCATAGCTTCAACAGAAGCTGAGCAGCAAGTAGGCGAAGCCTTGACTTGTGGTGCTCTGGTGTATCCTTCGTCTTGCAGAGCTCTCCCCTCTTGACAACCAAGGTCTTGAGCAGCTTAAAGACCGGAGGCGCCTTTTCCTGGGCCTCTTCGGCCTTCTGCATGCTACGCAGGCGGTTGACGAGGATGTGCAAGGACAAGCACTTTGCCTGCAGTTCCTCGTCCATGTCGGCATCCTCGACCCACTTAGGGTCCTTGTCAGAAGCATCCCCTCGAACTTGCAGCAGGATTTGCTGGACCGTCATGTTGAGAATATCGTCATCGGCATCTAGGGTAATCTTGGGTGCCTGGAGCTCCAGCTGCGCGACAGCCTGCAACTTGTTTAGGAAGTGAGGCGAGCCGTACTTCCAGTCCTCCATGACCTTCTGCAACAGACCTGTAGCGCTGACAAGTCCCTTCTCGTCCCCCTTGGCGAGGAGAATCTTGATGGCGTACTTGGCACACTTGACCGGTCGGCCGTACAGAGCATAGCTCACCAGAGCTTGCGAGAACTTGCGGTCTTGCGGAATCTCTTCCGGGTACTTCTTTGAGTAAGACGCGCAAGCCTTGAGAGTGTCTACCACTATCGAATCGTTCTCGCTGGTCTCGGTCGGTGCCTGGTCGATCAAACCCTTGCACAGTCCCCCAACGTGAGTCTTGAACAGCTCAGGGTTGCGCTGTGAAATCTCATTGAGGATCTCGTGAGAGACGGTGCCGTAGCCGTCCTTGTCGTTTCTTGAGTAGTCAAGAATAGTCGCAAGATGGCTGCGGTTGAACAGCAAGCAAGCCGATCGGTAAAGGAGAGGAAGCAGCGTGTCCAGAACGGCCGCCGATTGGCTAGCGTTCATACGCTTCACGAGCTCCTTGATAGCTTGTCGCACCGTTTTGTAATCACTCTCGGAGCTGACTGAGTACTTGACAAGCTGGTATGCGCGTCGGTCGTTCTGGTTAGCGAACTTTTGAAGGTCTGTCTTCACCTTGAATGAATCCGGGAAGAATTGTGTGATGTACGCCACTGTACGCTCCAGGTTCGCCGTCTTCTTCGGGCGGTTGTCGTCCATCACACCGCCATTGTAAAGCTCGCACTGCTTGACGAAAGTCTCCAGGACCTGTGCAAACTGAGGCTGTCGACCCTGCATGGCAAAGAAGGCCTTCTTGGCGGCCGAATCTAGCGACTGCGTCAGAAGCAGAAGCCTCTCTGCGCGGATCCGATCCTGTTCGGCAACGCCCGCGTTCTGTTGGCTCTGGCTTGATGACGCTCTGGTGCTCTTCGGAGTCTTGATGGGCGGGTAGTTCAACGGGATCAGACATTCAAAAAGGACGCGATCAAGCAAGATATTGAGCTCGAGATCGTTGGCGTAAAATGCATTGAAGATGCGTGTAGGGATTCCAGAGAGGGCTGCAACAACAGCCTCTTGTCCAGCAGCCAACTCGCCAGAGCCGACAGCCCAGAGCTTCGCCAACAGAGTCATTGCGTCAACTCGAACAGCATTACGCTTGTCACGGCAGCGGTCTGCGAGACTGTTGAGGACGGACCCATCCTTATCCACGCCTCCAGGTGCTCCAAGCTTGGTAACGAAGTCGCGGAAGCTGAAGAGCTCCATGACCTTGACAGCAGCCAGTCGAACCTTTTCATCGCCGTCATTGAGCTTCTCACCGAGATACTTTACCAACTCGGATTGCTCCTCGCGGCTGAGGCCAATGCCACCGGCCGAAGTAGCCAAAATGTAGCCAACCGCGTTGGTCCAAGCAGCTCGAATCGCCGCCGTCTTGTCGTTTCTTCTGCCCAAAAAATGGTGGTACGCGGTCGCGTGAGTTTGGGCAAACGACTGAGGCGAAAGTGGCGTTGTGAGAACGCTATCGGAAACTTGGCTGGGCGCCTCATCGGCCAGGCGCAGCGGGGGATACTGAGCAGGATCCAAAACGGGGAGAGGTGGTGGGCCAGCAGCGCCAAGTCCAGAAATCATGTCTCCGAGAGTTTCCGTAGCCAGTTGTCGCAAATCGACGTTGTCGGCCGAGAGCTCAGCCTCAACCTGAGGAATAACGTTTTGCAAGACAGATGGACAGGCGCGCCAGAGTTCCCTAATCAGGAAGTGAGCTTTTCTGAGCTCCTTAAGTTCCGAATCCGTCGGGCCTCTGGGAGCATCCTCATCGTCCTCTTCGTCGTGCTTTCCTACTGTCTTTGCTGCAAAACGCGAGGCATCAAGGATGACATCGCTGAAGTACTGGCTGACGTAGTGCACCATTTTCTCGGTGCAGACGTTGCAGATTTCCTTCGCCATGATGTAGGCTGGTGGTTCGTCTTTGGGCAACAAAGTGGACTGGTTGCCGTTCTGCTCGCCGCGATCCGTACGGCTCTGGAGTCCACCCGGAGGTGCCGCTCTAAGGAATTGGGCCATGATGACCTCGATAACCTTGGGGTTCATGCCGGAGGCCTCGTCGACAAGGGCGATCAACATTTCTGTCATGGTATTACCGACTTCCTTGGAAACGCCCTCTTCCGAGCTGGAGCCTCCCGAGACACCGTCGAAAAATACAGAAAAAAGACGGAGAAGCATCTCATCGGCACCATCGACATCGTTGATGAGAAGAATACTCTTTACTTCGGTAAGTGCAGTCAGCACGGCCTTGTGCTGGCTGTGGTAGGGATGAGCCTGGTCGCTCAATGACGGAAAGATATGGGATACGAGGAGATTAAAGAACATCTACAAGATCAATCGTTAGACTGGGCAGAGAATACACAACATTCTAGGGGACTGACCTTGGTCTGGTCTGCGGTGAAGGGCGCGTCGGGGGCGCACAGGCGGAGGATTTCCGAGATGCACACTGCAGTATACGCCTTCACACCCTTGTCTTTATGCGCCAATAAATTGCGTTGGCCCAAGGCGTGGGAGACATCATTAAGAGATTCGACATTGACGGCATCCTGGTCGATGCTGCTCAACTCCTCGTAGAGAGCCTGCAAGCGGTTGAGCAGCTCTGTGGTGGGTATGGGCTTTCCGGGTCTCCACGTCAATTCCTCGTCGAATTGAAGGCTCACGAGCTCTTCGCCCTGCTCCTCCTCGACCTCCTCCTGAGGTTCATCGCGACCGCGACGAGGCGCCATCTCGCGAGGTATGCAGAGGGCGCTCGGCGGGTGATGTGGTGTGCGGAAGCGGGGAAGACGATTATCGAGAGTGTGTTCGGTCGACGGAACGTGTCAAGAGTCGATGATGCGCGCACAGGTTAAGTCATGGATGAAAAAGTTGCGCGTCGCAGGTATCGATGAAGAGCGAAGCGACCAAAACAAGCGCGCCGAATTACAGACCAATTGCGTGGTGGCGACGAGAGGTGGGTGGAAGCTCGAGGGGCGTTGAGTGTTGCGACGAAAATGGATGGAAGGGTCGAGTCGTGTTACGCGCCTGCGCCTGCAGTTCATCGGGTTTCGCGTGCTTACCTGAGCTGAGCAGGAGCTGGGGAGGTAAGGTAGGTGGTACCTCAAGGTCGACTCAACGGGAGTGGGACCTGCCTCAGCAGGAGCAAGCAGGAGCTGCACCTGCACCTTCCCTTGTCGTGGCGTGTGGCCTGGCCCGGGCGCGACGTGAAAGTGGGACTTCCCCTGTCATGCCTCGGGCCCGGCGTGGCTGGTGCAGCACAAGTCGCAGGCAGCTGTGAGTGTAATCGCGACGGAGCTCACCGTTCCACGCTCAACCTCCTGTCTCCACTTCTCGGGCACTCAAGCCTCTGCTGTCATCAACCTCACCTCCTCCATTTGTGGCAGCGCAAGTGCATTCTTCCTTGTGGGTAAGAGGAAATTTCCCGGACACTTCAAGCTTATCGTACAAATAAATTTCATTGGGTTCTCTTCCTCGGGTTTCGAATTGAATTGCTCCTTGAGATGAAAGGTGCTGGTGTCGAGTGATTGTCAATTAGCAGAAGGAGTGTGATGCCTCATGGATCATCTTCTGTCACAAGGAGAATTTTCTCTGAAGAACGCAGCCGTTCTTCCTTCGGCCGGCCCCGTCTCATCGATCTGGTCGACGCAAAAATCGAGGTGAATTTGATTTCACCTACAATACCACCTTCTGGCCGACATTTTGAGAAGGTATACAGTGAACCCTTTTGATGGTCACCCAATAACTTCAGTTCCGTAGATGGGGGCATTGGTAAAACATTGCGAGCAATCTACTTGTTTTCTTCCAATCGAAGCGTGATGGCGCCTCGGATAGACTTTCATTCTGTCAAGTCAGAGTTCCGTTGAAAATAATTACCATGGAGAAGTGACTCAGATCGTGAAGTTGACAGTCATAAAGTTTGAAACTGAGCTGAAGAAGACCGGAGGCTACCTCTGCTATCTATCGTTTTTTTCCTACCTGGGAGTCATCAAATACCTCGAGGCAAGCTACGGATTTGACAAGTGCAATCAGTCATGTGCGGTAGGTTGGGGAGCAGGTCGCCGAAGGTCCAGTTAGCCCGTTGCACCGTGGTTGCTGGGCACCCTGCCCTTCTGATATCGTAGACCGACCCAGGTGAGTAAGTAGACAGGCGAGCTGGCTGGATGAGTATTCGATCAAGACTTCTCTAGCGTGAGGCGCCCTCTTCTTGTCCTGCCGCTTCTTGTGCTTCTGCTCGCCCACGTGGCTCGCTACCCTCCCTCGACCGCCCACCCGCCTTTCACCTTTTCCTTCTCCCGTCGCGATCCCACAAAACCAAACCCTTCTCTTCTTCTTCCACCCACCACGACAGCTTCGCGCAAACGTTCGACAACTTTCGTTCGCCTCTGAAGGTATGCGAATATCTTCCTGGGAGATCACAAAAATCCTCTTCCTCCTCATCCCATCTAACTAACTTTCACCAGCACTTTGCGCCTCTTTCGTTCATCTCTTTTCCAACACTCATTCTACAGTCCAGTCTCAAGGTACGTCGACAAGATCTTCAATCTCACGATCTCTCCCGCTTCTCTCTCTACCCTCACAATCAACCCTTGGGACAGCTTCTCAGCCTCGAAACCCCCTTCACCTGAGAGCTCCTCATCCTCACGATTTCTCCCATACCCAAATTATCCCCGGCCCTCAGAAGCAGATCTACCTCATTCTTTCCCTCCACTCAATCAAGCACCTCGTCTCCTCAAAATCCCCCTTTGCCCCCTCTCTTCCCATACCATCCTTCTTTGTGGCAGACTAGTCTGAGCAAGAGATGAAAATTCACCCCCTCCTCGCGCCTTCCGTCTTCAATCTGTCTCCCAGAAGCGAGCGCACAAGTTTTTTTCTTTTTTCTTTTCACCTTTATTGACGCGCCTCTCCCCACTTCCTCTTTCTCACCTTCTTCCTCTCACCAACACCTTCACTCTTCCATCACCATCTCAACTTTCTTTTCCCCTCACCACCCACTCACCACCCCGTCTCTCATCCAGACTCCCACGTTCTCTAGAACAGAAGCTGTGAGTATCGCCAACTTTGCCGCATTACTTTTGCTTCTCCTTCTCCCTATCGCTCTCTATTCTCCGCCGATCTCAGCCTTTGGAGGTCTCACTTCACAAACTCACTTCCTTCGATCCATCAACAATCAACTAACAAAAAAAACAGACAGTCATTCATTACAAACATCAATCGCCAGCAGCATCTTCAGGATGATGGAAAGTAAGTTCTTTCAAAAAAAAATTCACAATGTCTTTTTTCTCGCATTCTGACCACCTGACCAGACGGCAAGCATCGTCACAGCGGCTACTATGCTGAGGACGAGCTCTTGGAGATCAACGATGGCTCCATCACGCGCTCCACCAAGTGGAAGGACGACTGGGCTGCTTACCACAAGTCGACTTTCTGCTTCCTGGCCTACGTCTTCCTGATGGGCCTCTGCGTTCTTTCGGCCGTCATTGGCATTTCCTACGTCGGTAAGTTCATCCTCAGCCCGATTCAAGTTTCGCTCAGCTTCTCTAACACTTGAGCCAGCCATCCGCAACGAGATCCAGAGCAAGAACGCTGCCAACCAGGCCCAGGCCGCTGCCATTGTCCCCCGCTTCCCTGTCATGAACTTCCACGCCGGATCCTACAATGGCACCCACTACTCGCTCAACCACACCCTCACCGCTATTTCTACCGGTATCTCGACTGATGTCTTGACCTCAACTGCTGTACACTGCCCCGAGGAGACCGAGACTACCACTCAGCCCGCCAACATGACTTCCGTGGAGTCCACGACCACCATCAAGAAGACCCGCACCCAGACTCGCACTCACGAGCAGTCTCAGGGTACCACCGTGTCTTCTGCCTTGGGCGTCACCGGCACCCAGTCTGCTACCCAGTAAGCTCTGTCCTCCACTCTCATCATTCGCAGTCTTCTAAGATTCTTCCTCAGGACCGTCGACGTCATCACCGAGGTCATCACCACCTCTGTGACCAAGACAGCGGTCCAGACTGCCTCTGCTTCCTCTATGAGCGTCTCTGAGTCCACCTCTCAGTCCACTTCTGAGAAGTCCAGCATCTTCAGCTCTCAGGTCCAGAAGCCTTCCGTCGAGGTCTCTTCCGTCCTGGTTACCAAGACCCAGACCGCCGTTGTGACTTCCGTGAAGAAGGTTACTTCCACGATTGAGGAAGCTGTGGTCACCACCACTTACACGCCCACTTCCATTCTCGTCTCGACTGTCTATGTCACCTCGGAGCCCCTCACCACCTCTACCCAGGAGGCCCAGTGCTCCATGGACGACCACACCGTCTACGTCACCGTCACTAAGACCGCTGAGCCCAGCTCCTCAGCTTCTTCCTCTTCTTCTTCCCTGACCCTGACCAAGACCAAGAGTGTCTCCCCCCCTCCTTCATCTGTCTCTGCCTCCAAGGCCACCGACACCGTTCTGATCACCTACACCGTCACCATTGACAGCTTCAAGCCTACCAGCACGAGCTCGTCTTCCGGCGCTGTCAGTGAGACTACTACGTCCGTCACCTCTGAGGCCAAGAAGACCTCCACGGTGGTCGTGAGACACACCAAGACAATCTTCGAGACCGTTGTCGACGGCACTACTGTCGCTTACAGCACCACCGTCTCCTCTGCCCTTCCCCACGCCGCCTCTTCCGAGGTCAGCCAGGGCACTGGTGACGTGACGACGACAGTCACTGACATTGTCACCGAGACTCACCGCGCATCTGCTTCCTCTGATGCCACCACTGTGACCTCTCTTGTTGTCCCCCCCTTCAGCTCCACCTCTACCGTGAAGAAGACCAAGTCCATTGAGACCACGATCGTCCTCACGGATCGCGCCACTCAGACTGTCACCGTCGGCGGAATGGAAACTGTCACCGTCTACCCCACGCTGTCCCCCGTCCTCAATACCACATCCTCTTCCATCGAGGTCGTCACCGAGGTCGACATCAGCACCCTCACCGTCACCGTCTCAGGCGAGGTCCAGACCTCCACGGTCGGCGTCCCCAAGAACGCTACCGCCACCCTCACCCTGAGCAAGACGGACGCGGTTACGACCGCCCTTTCCACCATCACGGGCGTGTCCAACACCACCACCCTGACCATCCCCACCCCGGAGGTCACCATCAACACCACGGTCTACATCACCGGCTCTCCTGTGAAGTACACCAAGACCGAGGGTGTTGAGCTGCCCCCCTACCCCACGGGCGCCAACGGCACCATTTCTACTCAGCCGGCTGGCCCTGCCAAGCCCAGCCAGCCCGCCACCACCACTGCTCCCGTCTTCTCCTCTGCTGAGAAGCGCGCCGAGCCAGGTGTGGTCTTTGGTGCCGCCCTCGACCGCACTCAGATGAACTGCCAGACTTGCCTGGTCGTGTTCGTCCTGGCCCTGCTGGTCCTCTTCTAATCGTTCACTTCTCCTGCTTTTTCTTTTTCTTGTCATCACTCTCTCATTCTCGCAATGCACTGCACGCCGGACCGGAACCCTTCACGGGATCCAGTCACACTGCCTTGCCTGCCCGCAATGCCGATGACAAAAGAACACAAAAAGCACTTTTACTTTCACACTGTTGCACTGCACAACAGCACGAACGTTATGGAAAGGAATGATTGACGCAATGATGATGAATTGATACCCCCAACAAAAGGATTTGGGAACCCAGGTTTATGAGAACAGAAAGGAAACAATCGGGCTTTGTATGGTGTGCAATGGACTTGGTCAAAGGGGATTCATTTGGGAAACCACGACAGGAAACTTCTTGGTCTTTTGGCCATCTAGGGTAGTTTGGTTGAGGTAGTCTGGTGGATTTGATTTGGCTTCAGGACCGTTTGCTCAATACAAGACGTTTAGCTATTACTTGCCTCTCTCTCTGTCTCTCTCTGTCTCTCTCTCGTGATGTCTTCACATGTGTGCGTTTCTTCTCAACGCGCGCCCCATAATGATCAAATCGCTTGCAATCATTCGACCCCACCATCTAAAAATCTATCATAACTCTATCATTCCATCAAATCGCTTCTAGTTGTGCGCAACCTTCAGAATCCGTTGCTCCATCTCCTCGAACGCTCCCACGATCGGCTGGTACTTCTGGAACACCCCGTCCTTGAACCCGTCGTCGACCTTCTGGATCGCTCCCTCCTCCTTCCACCGCTTGCCGATGAGCTCGTCGAAGCTCTCCCCCTCGCTCCTCTCCAGCGCCCACACCGCCTTGTACGCTCCGCCGAGCGCGCACGCGTTGCCGCCGACGTCGAGCTTGTACACCCCGTCGCACCCGCCGAGCACGTCGCCCATCACCCTCGCGATCGCCGGGTTAAGCGAGCCGCCGCCGACTAGGTAGATCCGTCGCGGCTGCGCGGGGAGGCCGTCCTTGGGGCTGTGCACGAGGTTCTGGCTGCGCAGCCGCATCGACAGCGCCTGGCTCTCGACGATGATGCGCGGGTCCGTCTCCTTGCTCCACTGCGCGGCGGCCTCCTCGAGCGAGCTGCCGTCCTGGTTGGCCGTGTACCGCCACGTGCCGGCCTTGATGTTGGGCACGATCTCGGGGAGGTCAAAGTAGAGCCCCAGCTTCGCCTTGTCGTCGGCCGAGCGGACGTCGAGCGGCGGGGTGTCGAGGACGGCCTTGTTGAAGCTGGCCCAGGGGTCGCCGCCGTCGGGCTTGGGGAGGGCGTCGCGCACGCTCTCGCGCGCGAGGCCGCCGTTCTTGTAGCACAGCATGAACATGTACTGGCCCGGCGTGCAGGGGTGGTTGAAGAAGTGGTACGCGGCGTCAGGCTTGTAGACGGGGGTGACCATGAGGAAGGTGGACGAGGTGCCGAGAGAGACGATGGCGTCCATCGGGCGCAGGGGCAGGGCGAGGATGGTGGCCGGGTTGTCGCCGGTGAAAGGGGCGACCTGGCAGTCCCTGCTGAAGCCGTAGCGCTGGACAAAGTAGCCCGCGATGGAGCCCATGGAGCCGCCGCCGTCGTGGCGCGGCTCGCCGAGCTTGGAGCGCAGGTCCGCGACGCCGGACTTGCCGCCGGCGGTGAGCTCGAGGAGGGGCTCGCTCCAGCTGCCGGCGGAGATGTCCCAGAGGTTCATGCCGCAGACGTCGGAAATGTCGATGGGCGCGACGGTGCCGAGGAGGACGGAGGCGAGGAACGAGGAGACGAGGGAGACGCGGGAGGTGGCGGCGTACATGTCGGGGAGCTTCTGGCGAAGACGCATGATTTGGGTGCCGGTGAAGCGCTGCGTTTGGTCAGTGTCTATCACGTCAATGCGGTGAGAGGGAGGGAGAGGGGGTCATACGTGGTGAGCGGCGCTGCCTGTGACTTCGGCGAGTCGCTGTGCCGTCTCGAACTGGGCGTCGAACTTGTCGCACTGCGATTGCGTGCTGTGATCTTGCCAGTTTGGGGCGTACGGGTGCGAGAAGGCCGCCTTGAGCTGCTCAACAAGGGGTTTGTCGGCCTTGAGCCCGCCCAGGAGCTTCTCGGCATCGTGGCTCCAGTAGGTGCTGCCGTGCTGCTGACACGAACCGCTGATGCCCTTGATGCGATCCATGGGGGTTTTCTTGCTGAGGCGATCGAGAACGAGGTCGATTGCCTCGAGGAACATGGCGACGGGGGCATAGACCTCGCCCTCGGCCTCATTCGTCAGAACACCCTTCTTCAGGCCATACTGCTTGCCGAAATCAGCATCGAAGTCGACCTTGGCCTCGGAGACGACTGTGAGGTCAGACTGGACAACGATGGCTGTTCGGTCGTCAGCATCGTGAGTCGGATGATGATGGTGGAGTGAGACGGCAATTGATGCATGAACTGACCCTTGAGCTGTTGGGTTGATAGATCGAACCCGAGATACAGGGGACCGGCACTCATGACGACGGCAGACGGGACGATCGTACACTCTTTTGGGTATCAAAATTTGTCTAATCTGATGCAATTCAAATCACACAAAAGTCTGGGAGACAGGAAAGGGTGAAAAACACGATGCAACACGGATATTTGGGAAAGTTGACCGCTGCCCACCACCTTACATCACTCTACGTGGGGAGTGGACATGGAGGGGCAGCTCGGGACAGGTTGCACGGTATCAGCCTTGTGGCAATTCAGGCTAAAACCGGATTGGCCAATCGTAGATTTTGTACCTCCTTGCGACGCATATGCGCACCAATGACATCTCGATGGCTTGGCAAAAAGCCAAGACAGCCTTGTCCCCCGGCTCGGGGGTCGGGGGCAGCTTAACCCGCGTGATATGCGCACCTTAGATTTCAGATCGCAGTCCCCGCATGCCGGCCCATGGATTGATAGGTCGGGATGAAGCGAGTTGCTAGGTTGCGGGAGTGGGCAGAGTGTGTGCCGGCGGCACAGCGCGAGACACGGCTGTATGCAAGGTGACAGGCTAAGACAATTGATTCTGTTATTGGCAAGGAGAGACACAAGCTCTCCGGATGACGGGCCTAAATGCTGGCCTTTTGCTAACCCCCCTGAACGCCGCCCAGATGCATCGCATACTTGAGAGGACCCTCCCAGCATGCTCTTCTAAAACATCCCCTATATGCCACAAAAAAAAAAAAAAAAAAGGGAAAAAAAAAGACGGGGGCTATTCCACGCTTCCGGATAGTGTAAGGGAACCAAGGGTATCTCATCGTGAATGGCAAGCTCATCCTCCCGAATGTACAACTAGGGACGTCGGCCGTTTAGTGGTGCTTGTGGTGGCCGTTGCCGTTGGCGTCGGTGGTCTCCTCCTCGGGCTTGTCCATGTTGGCCTCGCCGGGGATGAACTCGTCAAACTTGGGCGCGATCTCAGCCTCCTTCGGGACGTAGCGGACCTTGATCCTCCGAACTCCACGCACGCTAGAGCCGACTTGGGTGCGGACGGTCTCCTCGACGGCGCGGACGTGCTCGACCGTCCAGGCTCCCGGGACAGCCAGTTCAATGTCCACGAGGTAGTTCTGGCCAGACTTGACACCGGAGATGTCCCTGAGTTCGACCTCGTGGCCCTCGGTAACATCAGACAGGCTCCTGAGTGTGTGCTTCTCGACCGATTCCTTGACCTCGTCATCGATGCTACGGTCGGCCAGTTCGTACAGAGCGGACAAGGTGTTCTCCGCGCCAGCCTTGATGACCAGGAGAGAAATCATGAGGCCACCGACAGGGTCCAACCAGGCAGCATCCCTGAAAAAGTTTGCGCCGAGAATAGCAAGCAGTGTAACGATTCCAGTCCAGCTGTCGACACGGTGGTGAACGGCGTTGGAGGCAAGGACAGATGACTTTCGTTCGACGGCGACTTTCATTGCTGCAAAATCTTTGTTAGACACATTGCTTCTGTTTGCTCGCTCTACAGGGGTTTGGGTGACACCTACTTGCTTGGTACAACCACTCCTTGATCGCCACGGTGCCGAGAGCCAACCAGGCCGCGTGCAGGCTGGGGCCAGAGTGGTCGTGGTGATGGCTGTGGCCGTGGGAGTGAGCGTGGGCGATGGCCTCAGCGGCCGCCGCCGGATCCAGGAAGAGGTGGGCGTGGAGAGTCAGCAAGCTGCTCCAGCACATGAACAGGCCGCCGCCCAAAAGCATGCTGGAGACCCCCAAAGAACCCAAGCTCTCGATCTTGCCGAAGCCAGTGGGGAAGCCAGCGGTAGGGGGCTTCAGACTCCAGGAGACGGTGGCCAGCGTCAGGATGTCAGAGGCCAGATCAGTCAGACTGTGCCAGGCGTCAGCGACCATTGCCTGGGAGCCGAAAGCGTAGCCGCCGGCACCCTTTGCAATGGCCATGCCGAGGTTGGAGTAGAGGCCGATGCGGGTGATGCGGACGCCGGCATCGTTCTTGTTGCTCGAGGTCAGGTAGACGTTGTCGTGACCGTGGTGGTGGTGATGGTGGCCATGGCCGTGGGAGTGGCCGCCGGAGCTGTGTCGTGTCTGAGTCTGCATGACGGTGGTGGGAGGTGCGGTGGTGGTGGTGGTGGTTGTAGTTGTAGAAGACATGATTGCGGTCTGTGTGAGGATGGGGAAAGAAGTACTGGTAGTGGCCGGTAACCTTGAGCGCAAGCGGAGGCGGGCGGCGTTGGGGGTTAAGTAAGGATCGCAGGGAGAGGCGGCCGGGCTGGATGTTTGATAGACGCGCACGCGGCGCAGGTTTGGGAGATGTGGCCTAAAGGGGGTACCGGTAACAAAATCGAGGCAAGATGAACGGAGGAGGGCGTGTACGGCGGAGGCAGACGGCCCTGCGGCGCGTCCAGGCCCAGATCGCATTCCCATCCCAATGCCCATCCCCATGCTTCTTTTGCGCGTCCCTGTGCCGGTGCCAGTGGAAGCTCCAGACCGGGACGTCACACTCACACTCAGCCCGGATAGGCGGCGGAGCAGACCCGTCGGCGGGCGCTTGGACGGGGGAGACATGTAGGTACGGTACGGCAAGGTACGGTAAGGGTACGCGAGGCACAAGTGACAAGGCACGAGGCTAGAGGCCGGGAGTACCAGGAATAGGATGGGGGGAGGGGACGAATGATGGGATGGCTAATTGCAAGCAGCGGCGGCAGCAGGCAAGGGACGCGTACATGACAAGCAGCCCAGTACGGATCGAATAGAGGGGAGCGCGGCGACGGGAGTGGTGGGAGTGATTTGGATGGTGGTGTACGGAGCCAGAGGTACTGGGTAAGGTAGGTAAGGCAAGGTACGGAGGGGAGGGGGGAAGGGAAGCCGAAGGCGAGGGAGAAGGTTGCGGGAAGGCCTCGGCGTGAGAGGTAAGGTAAGGTACGGTACGGTGGTGGACTTGGGGCTAGGCTGTGCAGCGGAAGAGAGCGAGAGGATGTGGGAGGAAAGTGACACGGCAGGGTTTGATGTTGAGAGTTGTCGTTGATGTTGCTGCCGTTGACAGTCATGCATGAGGTACGGTGCAGTCAGGGCAGGTCAAGGTCGGATCAGTTCAGTTCAGTCCGGCCACGGCGGGTGTTCGATCTGATGTCCCCGACTCTCTCGGGCTGCAGTCGCTTGGCCTCGCCGCGGTCGCAGTGTGCAGAAGTGGATGCAGTGCGGGTTGCAGGGCGACAACACAGGGCAATGGGCAGAAAGAGGCAGGGCAGGGCCGGCTCGGCGGGATAGGATGGGATGGGATCCATGGGATGGGACCTATGGGATGGGTCGCTGATGCTAACCTAAGCTAAAGATGGCATCCGTTCCTGACGAGGATGGGGTCTGTAACCGTACTCTGTAAGGTAGGTAGTGTACATCGTAGCGGTATCCGTAAGTAGACCACAAGACGGGAAAGGCGATGATAGAGTGGATGCGGCATGGCATGGCCCTGGCCAGTTGAATTGGATTGATTGATTTGCTGCTATGCCTGTCCCTAATTACAGTTGTACACGTTACCGCCGCATACAAAGTAAAGTACAGTACTGGGCAACGTAACGACTCAAGCTCACCAATGGAAGTGTGTGCAAATTTCTTCCAAACCAAAACTTGCGTTTTGGCCCCGGCACCGGGGTTTGGGATGGGGGGGAGAAGCTTGAATTTTCTTTTACAACTGGCCCTGCACCTCCTGCAGCGGCCCTGGGCAACTGGCGACGACATGCGTCAGCAGCACCCACTATTGACAACGGAGCCCGGCGGGATGCTGCAATTAGCCATTGGGATCTCCAGCTGCGCGAACCAACTCTGGTTAAAGCGGATGAAGCGTACGCAACTCAAACAGACGGACGGAACCAACCCTCCAGGAGCCTCAAGCCATCACCTCCGGCCTGCCGAAAGAGGATGCCGGACAACTGTAGAGGCACATGAGGTGACAGCCGGACGCATGCTATCGGACAGGCAGGTGACAGACAGCCCCTGAACACGCAGATAGCTGCTGTCCTAGCTCTGAGTTGCCAGTCGCCAATGTGAAGGGTGCCAAGTTGCCAATGAATACCCTCTCCATTGCAACGGAATCTCTCTGATTTGCTGCAGGGCGCCTCACATGGTCCGTGCCAAGGCCTCTACCACAGCGCAGTGTCTAGGTAATCACCTTCACAACACCTCGGGCAAGCCACACCAGCTTTGTCATCGTGTGGGGTGACAGCGGGCCCCCTTGAGGCTGGGACCCCCGAATCATGACGAATCGACGAGTGACGATAGAGATGAGATCGCCCCTTGGACTCAACATGAGATGAGCCCGTCGCAACGCTTCCGTTTACCAATACACGCGTCTGACACCCGCCCTCAAAATTCTCCTCCCGTCCCTTGTTTGCTGCTATTCTTAAACCCACCCCCAGGCATATCACGTCCACATCACAACCCTCTCTTCCTTTAATTCAACCCCTTTCTGGTCTCCTCCTTCCTCTCACAGCCTCAGCCTCCACGTCGCCCGGCGCCATCCCACCTCGCGATCCATCTCCTCCCACATTCCGGCAGCCTTACGCAACACCCCACCACAAAGCCTCGCCCCGATGCGCAAACCTCTTATGCGCATTCCCTACACGGAACTCTTGGCTCCTCCCACAGTCCGTCCAAGCAACGCAAACTCCATCCCTGGTGCTGTCGCGGCCCTCCAGAACTTTTTCACAGCTCCTCCGCCACAGGGGCTGCCGAGGTCAACCGTAGTCTTGACTGGGGCGGGCCTCTCCGTCTCCAGCGGCCTCGCCGACTACAGAGGGGTCAATGGCACATATCGCGTGAATAAGACCTACCGTCCCATCTACTACCACGAGTTTCTCTCCAATCACGAAGCACGCAAGAGGTACTGGGCAAGAAGTTTCTTGGGATGGACGTCACTTCACAAGGCGTCCCCGAATCAGGGCCACTATGCCATCCGTGATCTTGGCCAGCTCGGTCTTATACGCAGTGTCGTCACTCAGAACGTCGACTCGTTCCACTCAAAAGCTCATCCTGACATTCCAACTTTAGAGTTACACGGTTATCTGCGGTCCACTGTCTGTGTTACTTGCAGGAACGAATACCCCAGGGACACCTTCCAGGATGAGCTAGCGAGGCTCAACCCGGCTTGGGCGACCTTCCTCGCCGAAGCCTTGGCTTCCGGGGCTCTCGATACAGAGAATCCCGCGGAACGCAGGGCCAAGGGCATCCGGACCAATCCTGACGGAGACGTCGACTTGCCCGGCGCTCCTTACACCACCTTCCGATATCCTGCGTGTCCGCATTGCCTGGCGCACCCACCCTCTACCCCCGAGGGTGCCAGGCACGTCGTCGAGGTCGACCATGACGGTGCCTGGCACTCCTCCAGCTCTGCGGGCATCCTTAAGCCTGCGGTCGTCATGTTTGGCGAAAGCATCCCCCATGAGGTAAAGACGGCGGCGGAGGAGGCCATCGACGGGGCTGGCAAGCTGTTGATCCTCGGTACTTCGCTAGCCACGTACTCTGCATGGCGGCTGGCCAAGCGGGCTCTTGATCGCGGCATGCCCATCGCAATCATCAACACGGGAGGAGTCCGAGGAGAGGAGCATATCGCCGCGGTCCCGGACCCGGATCCGACAGGGGCACATGGAGTCCGGACCGAAGTATCCACCGACGTCGTCCTTCCGGCACTAGTCGACCAGCTTCAGAAGCTCTCGGCGAACGGTGCCTCCGCTCCCGCGGGAGGCGTAGCAGCCTTCAGGGAGAATCATGGTGTCTTCAAAGACATGCTTTCATAAGCCGCAAGATGTACAATCAAAAACGTCTCCGTTATGAATCTAGAAGAAGCTCGACATGCCTCGTGCCGGTGGCTTCGCAGCCTCAGAGACCCCTGTGGAATGCGATTTGGCTTCCTTTTCGGGCTTGCTCTTCACGCTCTCTGTCTGCCGTGACTTTTCCTGCTTCTTCTGTCGTGACACGTCTTCTCGTTCAATCTCTCTCAGCACTGGTCGAGTTCGTCAGCATTCGTGTAGTATTCTCCGAGACAGTTCACGTACTCTCTTCCCACTCCAACTCCTTCTGAGGGTCGCCCGTGCCAAGTGCCTCTTCCACATCAACCTTCTCGCCGCGTTGAATCTTCTCCACGACCTCTTTCAAGACCCCGATGCGGACGTCAGCTTGGCGTGAGAAAGCTTCGAACGACTGCTTGCTCGACAGCATATTAATCGACATGGAACCGATCAAGAGAAAGATGACAATGTAGAAGGTTGCCGGGTTCCATTCCTTCTTCTTCTTCGACTTGACCCGCTTGATGGACGGGTCTCCGGGGAGCTGCGGTTCGCGACGAAATGGTTTCGGGACCAGGCCCTTCCAGAAGTCGGACTGCGCAACCGTCGGCAGGGAGCTTGACTGCCGCGCATGGAAGTAGACGGCTCGAGGGGCGGCATGCGCAATGGATGCGCTGCGTAGGCATGGAGCCGCGGCAATTAGCCGTTGTGTGGCAATTCGAGACATGTCGGCGGAGGAGCAATCAGAAAGATGGGTTAAAGGAAAGATCGATGCCCGCAGTGTGCTTTCGTCTCGTCTTGGAAGTTGGAAGTAAAAAAAGTTCCGGACCTGCAGTTGAAGGCCCAAATAGTCCGTGCACTGGCAGCTTCCTCCGCACGGACCAAACCGGACGGCGGTTGCCCCGGACAACGCCCCGGGGCATTGTTTAGCGAGATCTGCCAGACTGACAACTGCATTGCACCCTTTGTGGATTTGCCATGAAGTCACACATCCAAATTGTTTCTCGAACAACAGCCTTTCGCTCTTTTGGCCTACCCCTGGTCGTGCTTTACGAATGAAGCTCGAGATTTCATGACGACATGCTTAGGACCAAAACGTATACGATTCGATGACTTCCCTACAAAGCAAAGTAGACGCCGTCAAGGCGGCGGCAACATCAACCGCGACATGCACATCAGCAACCTCCGTGTTGCTCAAAGAACTTCTTGCGACCGAGACCGAAACATCGTCGACAACAACAAAGACGACGGCACGAAATGCAAAGTCGACAACAACCGCAAGAGGCAAGACCACAGGAGCGGCACGAACCGCTGCCAGCAAGAAGGAGGAATTGAGCCCAAAGGAAAAGGCAGCACTCGCGGCGCACATCGTCAACGTCGCGCTCAAGTCGCTCACCGAAGCTTCGAAGCCCGCACCGGTGGCCACACCCTCGACACCATGCCGACGACAGAACTCGGGCGAGGACCTTAGGAAGACCCCGAGCGGACGACATCTAAGACGATCAAACTCATTGCCGATGACGCCCATGCAACCGCGTTCGCTAAACCGGACATCGACCTCGCCCATGACTGCCGTGAAGCCGGCACCGAAACCGACAACTACGTCTACACCACCGACGACATGCCTCGCGACGGTCGAGTGTTTGAGGGCTTCCTTCGCCTGCCTGAGAGCACTGCACAGTTCTGGAGCCGTGCCGCTTCCTGAATTGCAGCTGGAGAACGGCATGTCTTCTTTCATTGCTAAGCTTGTCGGCCTGGGGCTCCAGGAACATGCGCTAAAGGAGTTGA